TATCAGTAACTGCTATTTCGTAAAAAAAAAAAAATATTTTTTTTTTCTCTAAGCTGCTGCTATCCTTTCAAAAGTCTGCAACACTTAGATTTACATTCCTATAAGGTTTGTGTTTTAGCCTACTCAGGAGTCCATCATGCTGTGGCTTCTCATGTTTCTGAGGCCGCTTATGATCCCTGACAACAGTCTCTTTTTACCTAATGGAATAACTTTTACACTGAAGTACAACAACTGCATGCATTTTTAAAAAACTAAAAGCAACAATTATGGAGACTTTTTAAAGGTAATGATGCAACTCAACCCTTTTCGCCTTTAGTTATGATGGAATATTAACATGTGAGGCACATAACTAGGGATACACTTCAAAAGGGCTGACAGGAAAGGGAATAAAGACAAAAAGAGTAGAAACCCCCTTTTAGTTGATATATAAAATACAAGTTTGTAAAAAAAAAAATAAAAGTTCGAATGAAAGGTGAAGTATATATTTCAATTTCTTCCTGTAAACCTGAAGGGCACATCTACATCTTTAGAGGTGACACATCCATGTGATGCAACATGCAGATCTCTTTCTTTGTCTCCATCAGCTTTCCTTCAAACTTCCCAATTGGGATTCTGCTAGCCTACATTCCTTCCTTCAAGGTTGACGGTGTGATGGGTAATTAAATTACTTGACCCATTTTGCAGAACTGGCACTAAGTCAACAGGAGATTGGCTAAAATGATGAGTGCAGGATTCTGATGATAGATACATTCATCCTGACCTGTTGGTGTCATGTTTGCAAAGCAAGTAGCAGCGAGGAAATAAGCTGAAATCAGTACCAGCGTCTAAAATTCTGCTTTTGTGATCAACTGCAAAAAGGAAAAAAAAAATCAATGTGTCTCTGCTTTCGGATGTGCAACTCTATACTTTCATCTTTTGGGCTTACCTTGCTGATGGGGGATGAAATATGCTTACACTTAAGACTGAAGCTTGAATGCATTAGTTGTCATTTTATTAAAATCACAGTGAATCAAACGCCATCTGCTGGAGAGCTAAGATCTGACATGGGGTGAAAATGTTACTTTTTACTGGTTGATTTTTCACAAGTATCTTTTAGATGATGACTTTTGTGCTGCAATAATTGCTTTAAATGTAATTTCTGACTGAGCTTCTTTAGGCTGAGTCCTCATTTCTTCAGCCCTTCTGTTACATAGGCTGTTTGCAGCATGTGGAGTTTATCTATCACTTGCAGAGGGGGCTGCTATCAGAAGACAAACATGTTACACACTACTCTGTGGAATGACAGGAACTTATAGTATGGTAGGTCCTGCTCAACACAGCACACATAAACAAACAACTTGATATTAGGATTCATTCAGTAGCTGAAAGGATACTATAAATTGCTGCTTATAAAGAGTAGATTTTGCAGTGTTAAAGCAACACTTTAAGAGTTAAATTTAACACCAATCCGAGTGTCTTTGGTCCTGCTTTGAATTGCTCTTGAAATAACTCTCTACATAGTGTATATCTTACGCCAGTTGTTGTAATAACTCTAAAAGAGTCAATGTAATTTGAAACTAATTTACTGTGTAAAATTATAACAAAAGTAAAAAAGAAAAAAATGTAGAAAGAAACTATGGTGGCATCTGACAAACAGTGAAGACATGCATTAGTTTTATATAGTTGTAGTAATATATATATATATATATATATATATATATATATATATATATATATAGTTCTACAGTTGTATATATATATATATAGTATATTCCCCTTAATAGTTTTTACAGAGTTTGTCACACTATAAGCAAAAGCTTCAGTGTATTTAGTTTGTGCTTTATATGGTAGACTATTACACTAAGGCACATCACTGTAAAGAGGACAGAAATTGATGCATGATTGCCAAATATAAATCTTGAAAATATGATGTCCATTTGCATCAGAACCTAAGGCCCCTTTGAGAAAATTACAGCTCTCTGCAAGTTTTGCATCTCCAGAAGCTAAAATAAATGCCAATTCTTCTTTGCAAAGGTAGCTCAGCCATAGTCTGATTGAATTGGGAGTGTCTGCTCATAAATCGTTTTTCCACCTCAGTCTAATGTTTTATACAGCCAAATAAGATTTCTTCAAGTATCCCTCTCATTTACCATTTCTTTTTCCCACAAAGTGACCAACTCCTCTGTCCTTGCAGAATAACAACACGCCCACTTGGAACAATGATTACATCTGCAACAACATTTTTTTTCCTTTCCTCATTTTCTCTATTGCAGAAAAAAAGAGACATGAAGCTGGAAATACTGGACACTAGAGTGCAGCAGAGCTTCTGAGAAAATTGAACTAAAAAAGGAAAAAAAAAACTTTTTTAATTCATCACTTTGAAAGTTTACATTTCCAAATTGAAGAGTCTTTCGAAAACTTTCAAAGACTGAATGTTTAATCTTTGAAGGTGTAATACGCAGAGTATGTGTACTGCTATATGCAGTGATCATATTCACAAAAACTTTAAGCTAAAAGAATATTGGGTAGAAGGGCTGGATATGATTCGTTGAAGCAGCATTTAGTTCCCATGCTCCACTTATTTGGAACAACCCCCCACAAGACTGTGAAAGTGCTGAAAGTCGGAATGATTTAAATTCAAAGTTAAAAACCAATTTGTTTAGAACTACCATTGAGTGTTGAAGTTAAACTTTTAATTGAGGTATTATTAGTTTACGGTTGTGGTCTGTTTTGATTATTTTAGTAGCTGTTTTTATTATGCTTATATCTTTATTTTCTTTTATTCTGCTTTTATGTTTTGTATATTCTATTGCTTAATTCATATAAACCACTTTGAATTATCCTTGTACTGAAATATGCCATAATAATAAACTTGCCTTGCCTTTATTTAATCTCATATGTAGCCTCACTTATTTTAGTTAACTGTTATTATTTTCAGCACATACTGGAGTTTATTAGCAAGGAACTGTTCTTTTTATAGAAGACTAAACAAATTATATTTTTGACAGGTGGTATCTGTTATTGATTGATTGGTTGACTTATTGATTGATCTCACTGTGGAGAAATGTACATTTTTCACATCAGCTCAAATGGTCAAAGGAGAAGAGGAATGTGCCAGAAGAAGGAAAAGTTGCATTGGATATATACAGTAAATACAGTACGTCCACATATGACAGCTTGTTTTTTTAATAGTAGAATTATTATACAGGGTTATTGCACAGGGTGTTTACTAGCGGGGTGGAAAAAAATAGTTTTGGCAATATATCGTGTTTTTTGGCTGCCTGATATAATATCGATTTTTTTTAAAGCAAAGCATTTTTACCTAAAACTGAGGGAAAGTGGGCTACCTCTGCACCCCAACTGTGGCAGATAATGCTGTGGACCTCTTTTGCTGTGCGGCGCAGCAATATATGTGTAGTTCAGACACTCACAGTGAAGGACGTGGACTGACTCAAACCCCAAGCAACATGGATACCAAAATATTTGAAAGATCAATATCATCTGATGATTATATACAGAGGTTTCTTTTTTATCTACACATTTAATTTTGATATTAGGAAAAATATGGCAATATATGGTGAGA